GCCCCACCCCCATTGGGAATCAGTCCTGCTGTGCTTGTCCTCTTTCAGAGGTCTCTTTGGAACTTAACTGTTTCTTGGACTTTTCCTGAAACCTGCCTAATTTTGGCCACTCCCCCTATCAGTTTTATACTCTGTTTCTTCTGACATGTTTTGTGCTCATGGATAAATGCTACCTCCCCCGGTAGGTGGGTTGTAAGCTCATGAGTACTGGGCCACACATCTTTTCTTTTTGTTACTTGTCTCTCCTTTGTCATATCTACTGGCCACCTTTGCCAAAATACGACTCTTCATGAGAAAAGTTGTTGGACTAAAGAAGGGAGTGCTGGACCCAAGGCCTCTGAAGGAAATAAAAGTGTTTCCATTCACTGCAACAACTTCAGACATAACAGTGAACGTTATCAGATCCACAGGGAAAAGCGAGAGACTGTGCTTCCTCCCCGGGCCTTTGCGGCCTGACCCGGCTCTTCAGCTCACGCAGGCAGCAAGTGCATGAGCAGCCCCGCTGCCTAACGCCCTCCCCTGGCTCTGGTGACCGTTCACGGTGACTGTAAACCACAGAGGCCGGTCACTGGGCACAGGAAGGGCTCCCTGGTGTCACACACAGGCAGCTGGGAACTGCGAGCTCCGGGAGGGCAGGGACTGTATTTCTTTTTCTCCACGGTGCACCCAGTAAGTGCCCTGTGCCAGGCCTGGGACAAGAGAAGATACTCAACGAGTATTCCATAAAGGAGTGGAGAGAGGAAGGCTCCCTACACTTCTGTGGGAGTGTGAAGTGAAATGGGGGGGACATCAAGAAAGGCTTATTGGGAACAGTGGCTTTTAAAAGGAACCTGGATGGTTAGGTTTGGAGCAAGGGAGGGTGGGCCTTGCAAGTGCAGTAAGAATGGCATAGACCTGGGTGCGGTGACATGGCTAAAAAGGTCCACATCGTTGGTAAATATGGGACCCATGTGGCGCCTCCCTCAGGAAAATGGTGAGGAGAATTGACATGAACCAGAAGGCCAAGGACACTTACTCCTGTGGCAAAACCAAGATGAAGAGAGGAGCTGGGGGACCTGGCACTGTGGCTCCTGCATGGAAACAGCAGCTGGTAGTGCCTGCACCACACCAGCCCGTCTGCCGTCCCAGGGAAGTCTGCCTCCAGAGACGACGAATGCAAAGGCCAGTGGAAGCGCCACAATTTGAAACATTGCTGGCCTGTGACAAATGAGTTAATTTATGTAACAACAGCAACAACAACGAAGAATGGCATAGTCCGAAATGAGGCAAGCCCTTCCACCTCAAAGACCTGCTGGGCTCATTCCCTCATATCTTTTTCATCTCTGCTCAAGTTTTACTTTATTTTCTGTTTGGCTTTTTAAAAATCCTCACCCAAGGATATTTTCCATTGATTTTTAGAGAGAGTGGAAGAGAGGGAAAGACAGAGAGAAACATGGATGTGAGAGAAACACATTGATTGGTTGCCTCCTGCACAAGCCCCGAACCAGGGCCTGGGCCGGGGAGGAGCCTGCAACCGAGGTGTGTGCCCTTCACTGAAATCGAACCCGGGACCCTTTGGTACACGGGCCAACGCTCTATCCACTGAGCCAAACTGGTTAGGGCAAGTTTCACTTTATTAATAAGGTCTTTTGTGACTGTCCTGTATAAATAACTGTAAAAATAGTTCATCATTTACCTTCTACTTCATTCCTTGGCCCTTATCATCATCTGACCTATTATTTATTTGTTTTTGTTTGTTTGCTTGTTTCTACCTGAATTAGAATGTAAGTTCCAAGAAGGCAATGACATTGTTCTGTTCATTGCTTTATCCCCAACACCTAAGACAATTTCTGGCTTATGGTTGGTACTTAATAAATATTTGTCGAATATATGAATGAGTGAATGATCCAGTGTGTGTGTGAGGAACCATAAGTTATCTTGTTTATATTTCAGTAAGGTTTACTGTAGGACATCCTGAAATGTTTTGAAAAGAGAAGCATCTATTGGGGTTATACAGGAGGCATGCGCCTCCCTCTGAGGCGTGGAAGCGTGATGGTAAAGGTATGACAGGAGGCTGCAGTAATGGCTTTTTAGGAGAAAAAGGTTTACAGACATGTGCGGTGGGGAGTTCAGAGCAGCATTAGAAATAGTGGATTCTTCCTGAGTTATACTTCATTTATTTGAAGTGAGTTACTTTCCTTGAAAAATATGTGAACATTTATGTCAAAACTACATTTGTTAACCAAATCTACTCTTTTCCTGACAGGCGGCTGAACAGTACCCAGGGGGAAATTCGTGTGGGTCCTAGCCATCAGGTAAAGCGCATTTTAGTAGCTTCTTTAATAGGTTTTTTATTTCTTGTTATTCTGCTGGCCCTTTTATGCTGTTGAGCAGCAACTTAGAACTGTTGTTATCTCTACAGGAATTTTTATATAAATGCAGAGGTCCCCCCCCCCAGATTACCTCATACTTTTATTTTTTAATTATGATAAAATATACATAATATAAAATTTGTCATTCTAACCATTTTTAAGTGTACAATTAAGTGGCATTAAGTACATTCATATTGTGCAATCATTACCACATTCAACTTTCAGAAAATTTTCATCTTCCCAAACTGAAACTGTCCCTACTAAACACTAACGCCCCATTCTCCCGTCCCTCAGCCCCTGGCATCCACAATTCTACTTTCTGTCTGTGTATATTTCCTGCTCTACCAACCTCATCTCAGTGGAACCACACAGTATTTGTCATTTGTGTCTGGCTCATTTTACTGGCCATCATGTCTTCAGTATACAGCCATGTGGTAGCATGTGTCGGAATTCTTTCTAAGGCTGAATAGTCCATTGTATGTATAGATCATATTTTGTTATTCATTCACCCGTGCATAAACGTTTAGTTAACAATACTTTGATTTTAACTTTTTAAAAGCTCTCTTTCCTTCAGAAGAGTCAAGATGGTTAGGATGCTTGTCTTCAGAAGCTTGTCATGTTGTGACCTCTGCCCTCTCATGTTTCATTCCTTTGACTAGGACCCTGTGTCATGTTTGCCATCTCTTTCCTTGATCTCTCTATCAGTTAGGATGCTTTGATGGGCAGGAGCAGAAAACTCTGGCCGACCTTGGCTCTTTATGGTCCCACATATCATCACACCCTGGGCAGACAGGACCAGGCCCTGGTTCTCAGTGGCTGTGCTGGTGCGTGGCTGTCCCCTGTGGGCTGGGTTCCTCCTCAGGCTGGAAGCTGAATTTCACTGATCCTAAGATGCTCTTCTCTCCTTCACTTCTTACTGTCTCTGACGGACTTCACTGTACATGCTGTGGTAGAATTATAATTTAATGGGCAGCATGTCTCCTTTCTAAATGCACATAAAATAACAGTGGATCTCACAGTGAGTGAAATACAGCAAATGTTGAGAGTAGGAAAATGATCATCCTTCTCTTCCCCTTAGAGGCAAAGAAAATTCTCCCAGGTCTCACTCAGTCCTCACATCTCATTGGCATGGATTGGGTCATGTGTCCATTTCTAAACCATGAGGGAAATAAGTCTAGCATGATTGTCATATCAGTTGGAATAGATGTTGGGGAGTTAGTCACTATGGCCCACACATACTAGAGCAGCCGTGGGCAAACTACGGCCCGCGGACCGGATCCGGCCCGTTTGAAATGAATAAAACTAAAAAAAAAAAAGACCGTACCCTTTTATGTAATGATGTTTACTTTGAATTTATATTAGTTCACACAAACACTCCATCCATGCTTTTGTTCCGGCCCCCCGGTCCAGTTTAAGAACCCATTGTGGCCCTCGAGTCAAAAAGTTTGCCCACCCCTGTACTAGAGACATGACCTACAGGAAACTCCTTATAAGGATATAGAGGTTTTAGTAATCTGTCTAGTTAGTCATTTTTCTGTCTGGTTTTGAGTATTTCTTGTATGTCATGCATATTTTTTTAACAACCTATTTTAACTCTATAGTGAGAAAGAAATTAAGTAAGGAAATATTAAAACCAAAACACAGAAATGATAAGGGGCATCTAATTACTAGAAGAAACTTCTCATCCCAGAGCTAGGGTTATAACTGAGACAGGTAGGAAGAAGCTGCCAGAGGCCACTCCCCTAACGACTGCCTTGTTCAGGCACAGTAAGTCCTCGCTTAACATTGTTGATAGGTTCTGCAACTACGGAAAAGACATATAATGAAATCGAGTTTACCGTAGGCTGATTGATCCACACGAGAGTTAGGTTCCTATGGCATCTCATGGATGTTATAATGAAATGACATTGAACGAAAGGACCTGCTGTGTATCCTTTTCTTGGTGTGGTCTCTTAGTAGGGCTGACTACCATCTCCACCGTATGTCCTGTGCCTTCAGGCCTGGGACTTCATTTAAACCCAGAGATCCAGGCCTAGCCTGGACCACTTGATTACATCTCCCTCTCTCAGCTCTCTCTTCCCACTGTATTTCACACCTATTTTTTTTTTCCTCCATGTGTTTCCAGTGTCTTGAGATCATTGTACTAATGTTTTATTTTACAGATTTTTTCCCCTACCATAACAGAAAAAGTGGTTTTTAAGTAAAGATGCTTAAATTCTTGGAAATGGACAGATTTACTATGCTTGGATTTTTGTATACTTTCATTTAAAATCGGATATTATGTCCGATTTTAAATATATTCTGTATGGTTTATTTTCAAAAAGGAATGTTTCGAAGCATCAAATATTAGAGGACCTTTTTATGAATTGACAACATTTGCCTTCTTAAAATTTTTAACTTTTTTATTAGATAAAATACTAACATATGCAAAAATAAGGAACGATTAGTACAGTAAACCTCCTTAATTATATTACTGAGCTTTCACACATAGTATAGTAAAACTTAATTTATGCTTTCTCACCTCTCCCACCATTATTTTGAAATGAACCAGAACTGTATCCCTCACTTGTAAATATCCTTCACTTGTAAATATCTCTTTCAAAAAAAACCCCAAAACAATCAAAATATGTCACACCTAATAAAAATGAGCAATTTCTTTCTTTAAAAATATATTTTTTATTTATTTCAGAGAGGAAGGGAGAGGGAGAGATAGATAGAAACATCAATGATGAGAGAAAATCATTGATTGGCTGCCTCCTGCACACCCCACACTGGGGATTGAGCCTGCAACCCAGGCATGTGCCCTGAACGGGATTCGAACCATGACCTTCTGGTTCATAGGTTGACACTCAACCACTGAGTATGCTGGCTGGGCAAAAATAATGAGCAATTTCTTAATGTTCAAGTGCCCACTATGTCCAGATTTCCGTAATTGCCTCTTTCTCTCTTTTTTTTGGATTACAGTTCGAATTGGAATCTAAATAAGGGTTGTGCATTGCAACTGGTTGATATGCCTCATAAATCTCTTTTAATTGGTGTTTCTCATATTCTTCTCTCCCCTCTCAATGTATGTGTTGAAGAAGTGGAGAGTTTTTCTCTGTAGGGTGTCCCATGGTCTGGATTTAGCTGATTGAATCTTCGGGTGTCATTAAACTTGTTCCCTTCTCCTTGGCGTACCTTGAAAATTAGTAGTTAAGTCTAGAGCAGTGGTTCTCAACCTTCCTAATGCCGCGACCCTTTAATACAGTCCCTCATGTTGTAGTGACCCCCAATTTCATTGTTACAAATGGAACATAATTAAAGCATAGTGATTAATCACAAAAACAATATGTAATTATATATGTGTTTTCCGATGGTCTTAGGCGACCCCTGTGAAAGGGTCGTTCGACCCCCAGGTTGGGAACCACTAGTCTAGAGGTTTAATCACATTCCAGTCTGGTATCCTCGCCATGCAGGAATAGTTCAGGGTGGTGCTCTGTGCATCTACCAGGAGGCACTTGTGTCTTTTAATGATGATTTGCAGCCTTTGCTTGTTACTTAGATCCACTGTTTACTTAGGGATCTCAAAACTTCTTTGATTTATTAGCTGACTACATGAAACTTCCCCCTTAACTATTTATTTTTATTTTTATTTTTTATTGAGTTCAGAGAGGAAAGCAGAGGAGGAGAGAGATAGAAACATCAGTGATGAGAGAGAATAATTGATCGGCTGCCTCCTGCACGCCTGCACGCCCCCTACTGGGGATCAAGCTTGCAACCCAGGCATGTGCCCTTGACCAAAATCGAACCTGGGACCCTTCAGTCCTTAGGCCAATGCTCTATCCACTGAGCCAAACCAGCTAGGGCTCCCCCTTTAACTATTGATTCCCTGGTTCACATAGGAAAGGCACGGTTAATGCTTGACTCTCCTTTCTGTTTATGTTTTCAAAATATGGAGTTGGTTCCCTAACATCTTCCAGCAGTGACCAGTAGATTTAAGATTGTTTATTATCTGCTAACCAGATGTAGTTATTCTTATTGATGATCAAATTATTTATTTGGGGGATAGGTAGGAGCCTCTTCATGTTGTCTTTTGTGTCCCTTTGACTCGGCCCCGTGGACTTTGGTAGGTTCCTTTTATCTGGTATGACATGATTGTGATGTCTCATCTTGTACATTCTCTACTCTAGATCTGGAATTAAACCTTTCTCACGGGAGCCCTCATTATTTCAGTGGAAAGTGACTTTTTTCCACTGGCTGCGAGGGTGTTCATTGTTACTGGGTTGGCTACTGTTTCCAGGCCTTTTTAGGGAACAGATTAGGAAATATGCTTTAGCTTTCATTTTCTTCTTTTACATATATATATATTGATTTCAGAGAGGAAGGGAGAGGGAGAGAGAAATAGAAACATCAATGATGAGAGAGAATCATTGATTGGCTGCCTCCTTGCACGCCCCCTACTGGGGATCGAGCCCACAACCCAGGCATGTGCCCTTGACCAGAATCAAATCCGGGACCTTTCAGTCCACAGGCCAACACGTTATCCATTGAGCCACACCAGCTAGAGCCATTTTCTTCTTCTTTTTTAATATATTTTTCTTTATTGCTGTCAGAGAGGGAGGGAGAGGGAGGGAGAGAGAGAAACATCAATGATGAGAGAGAATCATTGATTAGCTGCCTTCTGCACATCCCATACTGGAAATTGAGCCAGCAACCTGGGCATATGTCCTGACTGGGAATTGTGACCTCCTGGTTCATAGGTCGATGCTCAACCACTGAGCCACACTGGCCAGCCATTTTCTTCTTTTTTAAAGATAATACCGTGGCTTCTTCCTGATACTTCTAATTGAAATTCAAATTTTTATATAGACCTTTTATTAATTTTATTTTTCTTTCATCCAAATCTGTATCTTTTTCTCATATCTCAAATCTTATTTTTAAATGACATCAACAAAAGTATTTGCTTTAATCCCATAATACATATATAACAGCTCAGAACAATAGTAGTCACACTGACAAAAATAATATGATTGACCTTACTGTTAATTTTTTTGGCCTTAGAATATGTCCCACTAGGGCTGTATAGGCAAAATAATACGTTTTTTAAAATTACTTAAAATAGTTCCTGAAGAGGACCAACTCAAGGCTCTCCAAAAGTTTATTGCAAGCCCTCAAAATTGCGTTTTTTAGCTCTATATCCTCCATTTCTGTCATGTTTTTTTGTCTCCGCATTTTTTATGCTTTCTTGGTGCACCCCCTTGTGGTCTTTGTGCGCAGTCTTGTTCTAGTTAAGCCTTGATTGTTGTAGTTAAAACTAGAGGGATTTGACCACCAGGCTGACTCAGTACGTTTTTTAAAATTACTTAAAATAGTTCCTGAAGAGGAACCAACTCAATGCATAGTTAGGTGCATTTGTTTCACTTTGCTTTAGAGTTTATAAGGGATTATTGTTTTTTAAACTTAATTTTGTTTTTATAATTAGTAAAGTATTTACATGGCTCCAAACTCAAATATATAAACAAAGTATGTTCAAAAGTCTACCTTCTATCCCTGTCTCCTCCCCATGTTCCCTCCCTCCCTGATGGATAATTGTTTTTTAATTTAAGGTTATGATTTCTTCTTATTTATATTCCTCCACCTTCTGTTCTTAGAAAAATGGTAGCATAGTGTGTACACATCTGTGCCCTCTTCTTTACCTTCTACCAGAGCAGCAGAGTCCCCCTCGTGTCCTTTTCCACTTCATGGAACCCCACTGAGTGGGCATAACAGTTCCTTCTGCAGTCCCTGTTGATGGGTACTTGGGCTGCTTCCAGTCATTTGCTGTTACAAGTAATGCTGCAAGAAATAGCCTGTACATATAAATTTTTATATTTTTTGCCAGCATATCTTTGGTTTCTATCCCTAGAAGGGGGCTGTCTGGCTTAGAGGGCAAGTGCATATGTAATTCTTAGAATGTTACAAAATTTCCCTCCATAGAGATTGTACCATTTTGCATTCATATTAGCATAGCCTCATATATTGTCACACTTTGAAATTTATGTTAACGTGATAGATGAGAAATGGTATCTCACTGTCATTAACTTATATTACTCATCTCAGCGAGGTAGACCATCTTTTCCTACCATTAAGGGCCACGTGCATTTCCTTTTCTGTAAACTAATTATATTTTCTAGCCCATTTTTCTCTAGAGGGGTTGGTCCTCCCCCACAAAGGTAGTACTTTTTAATTAATTTAACAGATAATCATTGGAGAGCTACTCCACTAGATACTGTACCTGGTACTGGGGAAGTAGAGCTCAGTACAAATGTTAAAGATCTTTTGATAGGAATTTCTATTGTGTTTTAATTTTATTTCAATACATACACTGTATATTAAGCAGTACTAATTATGGTACCCAGTTAAGTGTCATGAAAGTTGCCACTAAATCAAAGAAGCGCACCCTTGTCTGGAGAAAGCCGGTGCTCGGTGCACATGGAGAGCTGTCAAAGCCCATGAAGCAGAGGCTGCGAACTGGTGGCCCGAGAGCTGCATGGCCTACTGATGTGTTTTGGCAAACAGTTGTTTTAAAAACTTGAATCACCAGCATTTCACATAATAATCAAGATTTTTGGACTTTGGAAAAAAATGGACAATGCGCAAATGCTGATTCTTGTTCCTGAATGGCAGCATTCCCAGGATGGGGCAGCTCTCTCCATTTCACCCTGGTTCCCCACTCATACTGGCACGCCCAACCCAGAGCCATGCCACTGCCACAGGTGGCTTTGAGCAGTTGGAATGTAGCTGGTCCAGATTAGGATGTGGTTTATTTAATGTGGATGCTAGAATATTTGAACTGAATTATGCGGCTCTCATTTTATTTCTATTGGACAGTGTTGCCTTATTCTAAGCCTGCTTAATTCATTTAAATTTTTGCCTAGATTTTGTGGAACTGGAGCTTTAAAACTGCAGCTCTTAGTTAAAAATATTAGACTAATGTGTCCATGTTCAAATTTTAAGAAAATAAGAGCATGTGTGTCTTCCATATGGTTTACTTTTCATAGATCTTTGATGGGTGCAGTAGGACCTGTTTATTTTGCCCCAGCAGAGTGCGGATGAGAAAATGCTCGAGGTGTTCGAGTCTCAACATTAGAGCTGACTTAGGATCTTGGTTGTTGAGCACTGATGTTCAAATATTTAAAAAATTTTATTGTGCTTACGTACAATGAACTGTTTGTATATTAATGTACTCTGTTCAGTCTGCTGTGATAGTTCGTATCCAGACAGACATTTCTGTCATCTCAGAAAGTTCCTTCCTGCCCCTTCCCACGCAGTCCTGTCCTGAAGCCACTGCTCATCTAATTCCTGCACCTTCATTTAGTGCAGCTCTGCTTTTATGGTAACTCCAATTCTGTGTCTTTTTATGTTTACCATGGCTCACATTGACTCTCTTGAGAAGAGCATTAATTTAATAGGATAGCTCATTTAATTTTTGAGCAAATATCCTAAGGTGAGATTTCATTATTTGTAGATGTCTCTTTGTAAACTTGTTACATTGGAAATGCGTGTGTTTTTTCTTTCTTTATCAAGGCGGCACTGTAAGCTCCTGAGACATTTTTTGTTTGATTTATTTTTTACTCACACATGTCCATTTCTGTTTCAATCTTTGGATCTTGCCCTGGATTAGAAAGTAGAGATTAAGCAGTCCATGGTGAAATATTATGTATGAAATGACCTGGAAACGTGCTGCAGGCGGTTTCCGTGGCGCAGGGTTTTCTGTTATTCAGTAATGCCTCGAGATCCAGCGAGCTGCTGCCTCTCTGCCCAGGGCCTGCCGGCGGCAGCCCTTCAAAGGGCCTGGTTGTGACTTCTCCAACCCTGTCTTACAGGCCAAGCTTCCCGATTTGCAGCCATTCCCTTCTCCAGATGGTGACACTGTGACCCAACATGAGGAGCTGGTCTGGATGCCTGGAGTTAATGACTGTGACCTCCTCATGTACTTGAGGGCAGCAAGGTAAGAGGAATTCGCTCCATCCTGCTTTCTGGATTAGGCAATCTGAATTGATTAGTAGGCAATAAACTTTCTCCTGTCCCCCGACATTTTATTTATATATTGGGCATTCTCTGACTTCACTTTTGTTATACCCTCTGTAATCAGAGCCCCGTTTTACCATGGTAAAGTCACTTTTTTCTTCCCCTCTTTGTCCCACATTCGAGTTTGGAACTCTTCAGAAGGAAAACATCTAAAGCCATACATGCTATTGTCAAACTCCTCAATACAATGAGCAATTGGGTCATTCCATCCATCTTTAAATCCCATCACAGAGTTCTCAACTTTATGGCTGTTCATCAGTGCCAGGCCTAAATGTGTTTTTGTGACTTATCTATATGAGAACTTGCTAACAAACAAATGCCTAAGCTACAAAAGAGAAGATTAAATCTGTCCCTGACCCTTGCAGTGCAGGTAGAGAGCCTTCCTTTGTCTGCAGTGATTTCGTGGATTCACTGCAGCCTCACCTGTGCAACAAAAATGCTAAAACAGCCCTAACCGGTTTGGCTCAGTGGATAGAGCATCGGCCTGCGGACTCAAGGGTCCCGGGTCCGATTCCCGTCAAGGGCATGTACCTTGGTTGTGGGCACATCCCCAGTGGGGAGTGTGCAGGAGGCAGCTGATCGATGTTTCTCTCTCATCCATGTTTCTGGCTCTCTATCCCTCTCCCTTCCTCTCTGTAGAAAATCAATAAAATATATTTTTAAAAAAATAAAAATAAAATGCTAAAACAAGGCCAGGCAACTGAATTTCAGCTCCAGCTGCTTGGTGGTCAGCAGTGCTGTGCTGGAGGAGTACAGTGGAGATGAGGATGCTGTGGCAGAGGGAACGACTTATTTTATCTCTTTTTTACTTTTAATTCACCTAAAAGTACTTGATGTATAGCATGGAAGGAATTATGTCAAGTTTCAGAGGATTTAATTTTATGTTTTCTGGGGACTTTTCTTTCAAAAGATTGTAATCTAGGCAATTGTTGTGGCATATAGTTTTAGATTATTCATGCTCTGAAAATTAAAATCTGAGTACTGATGAAGCATGGGAAGAATAACACAGCTGGACATGAGTAAAAGGAACAGTTTTCTTCCTAAGTGAATGGAGGTGAATTGTATGGGACTGAGAACTCTGGCTTACCGTGCGTGTAAGAGTGGAATTTGGTCAGGGCTGGAAATGTACTCTGATAATTGAGGGTTAACATTTCTGTACTGATGTCTTCCCTTCCTGTCTTCCCAGGAGCATGGCGGCGTTTGCAGGCATGTGTGACGGAGGCTCCACCGAGGATGGCTGTGTTGCTGCGTCTCGGGATGACACCACTCTCAATGCACTGAACACAGTGAGTCTTCTGAAGTTGCCCTGGGTGGGAAGAGTGTTCTTTCCTTGTGCTGACTGGAGGGCATATGTGATGAGCATGGAACATGGAGGAGCCTGGGATCTTAGGAGTGAGTACTGGGATTGAAAGATGAGCTGTGGTCTTGGCCATCGAACTCCACTGACCTCAGGCCAGTGATAGGGCATCTCTAGGTTCATGTGCCTGAGCTCCAGGACTGTGGTGAGCTCGAACGAGAGCCTAGGGCTAGCGGTCAGTCTTGGCTGAGAGCTCACAAGCTGAATACTGTGCATAGATGATCTTCCTCCTCACAATACCCCCTCTCAAGTATTGGTGTTACCATTGTAGACACGAGGAAATAGCTTAGAGCCCTTAAGCCATGATCCACGGTTATACACTCTAGATTTGAATCCGGGGGCCATGCTGTTCTGTGGTCGGCACTGGGTTTCTGTGTCTCAGACCCTGTATTCAAAGTGCATGGAAGGACTGGAGAAGCTAGACTTCTTTCAACACATTTGTTTTTTGTAGGTTTGACTTTGGAACCATGTAAATATTCCACATGATTATAAAACAAAATTAAGTTTTAAAAATAACAATCTGAAAAAATCTAAAGTAAAATGTAACACATGAGCCTAGAGGTACTGAGGTGGTTGCCTGACATCTCACTGTGATGAGTCACCTGACTTAGCTTGGTCATGTGCACAGCAGCTCAGGCAGAACTCACTGCTGCAAACAACGTGGCTCTTCAGACCAGTTTACTTTTTTGGATACTTCTTTTGGACTTTAGATGACATCCTACAGAGCTGTTCGGGAAACTTAATGTATTTTAAAGTTTCTTGAAACAGTTCTTCTCTATGTGGTCACTAATGTGAAATCATTAAATCTGAAGAAGTAGTAATGAATCTGTGTGGATTTTTGGTACATTAAAAAATAGTCTAGATGGTCGTATATATATTTACATAGGATATTAGCATGAGGCTGGGAGCAACTCTTCTGATGATTAACTAAATGTAATTTAAGCCCCCTTTTTTTTGTTTTTCTTGAGAGGTCCCTGTAGTTGGGGACTTAGGAGATCATCTGTTCCAATTTCTAAATAGATAAACATCCAAGCCTCAGAAATGCCAGATGACTTGTTGAACCCAAAAGGTTTATTTAGAATGGAGGGTAAAAAATAACCCAGTTTTCCAATTCTACTATACAGCTTGGTTTTGTTGTTGTTGTTAATCCTCACCTGAGGATATTTTTCCATTGATTTTTTTAGAGAGAATAGAAGGAAGGGGGAGAGACACACAGAGAAAGAAACATCAATGTGAGAGAGAGACATCAATTGATTGCCTCTCGCATGAACCCTAATCAGGGCTGGGGTACATGCCCTTGACTGGAATCAAACCCAGGACCCTTCATTCCAAGGGCAAATGTTCTATCCACAGAGCCAAACTGGCGAGGGCATAAACAGCTTGCTTTTAAGGAAGCATGTAGGTATCTGAATATATGGTATATGATGCATGGTTTTTATTTCTGGTCTAATTTTGTTTCTGGGATATTACAAAACATTATGGTAGTTTCTTGTATGTTGGAGATTGAATTGTCTTGCTTGGGATATGCTATGTCCTAAATATCTAAACAATTTAAAAAAAAATATTTTTATTGATTGCAGAGAGGAAGGGAGAGGGAGAGAGAGATAGAAACATCAGTGACGAGAGAGAATCATGGATCGGCTGCCTCCTGCCCGCCTCCCAATGGGGATCGAGCCTGCAACCCAGGCATGTGCCCTGACCGGGAATTGAACCGTGACCTCCTGGTTCATAGGTCAACGCTCAACCACTGAGCCACGCTGGCTGGGCTGAATGGTTTTTTACATTCCCAAATACCTACTTTCTCACCTATTTGATACTTAAGGTTTTGTTTTTATAAAGAAGCATTAGCCCTAACCGGTTTGGCTCAGTGGATAGAGCGTCAACCTGCAGACTCAAGGGTCCCAGGTTCGATTCCGGTCAAGGGCATGTACCTTGGTTGCGGGCACATCCCCAGTAGGGAATGTGCAGGAGGCAGCTGATCGATGTTTCTAACTCTCTATCCCTCTCCCTTCCTCTCTGTAAAAAAAATCAATAAAAATATATTTTAAAAAAAAGAAGCATTATTCTGAACATATAGTGATGGAACCAGAGGAACCCTAGAGATTATTCCATAAATGAGGAAACTGAGACTCAGAGATTGGTGATACTGCGAACAGTGGCTATAAATGTCTGTGAATTCAAAATGCCCTAAAAATTGTATATATGTTCAAAGTAACTCTTGGATATGAGCTTGTTGCCTGTTCAGTTTTTTTGTATAAAAGCATTATAAAAAAATTCTCCTTTCATTATTATGCTGATCAGTTGAATTTTGAATAATGAAGATGTTACCATTTTTAATTAAATATATTTTTGGCACTTTCATGAATTTATCAGATTTATTCCCTTTCTACTCCAAACCCTGTACAGTTTGTGGAAGAACATTCTTCTACACAGAAATAATTTGAGCTATTTTTGCCCCTGGTCCTTTGTATCAAGTTTCTTCTGAAGTTTTCTTAATAATTGCCCGAGGGTTTTTGGTTTTGTGCGTTTTTATTTCTGTGAAACTGCTTTCCCATTTTTTGAAATTCT